TAACCGATATCTGTCACAGGTGTCGTAAAGATTTCGATCCCAGTATGATGAGTACGTTTCCAAGAAGCCAGCAATGATGTGCCTGGGAGATGCTCTCACAATGGGCAAATGTTACCATGCTGCTTGGCATTGCTGTGAACGGTGATTTCATATGAGCAGTGGGGTCTTTTGCATGTAAACTCCCTTCCAAGTTTGAGCCAATGATTCATCAGAGAATTAATGCCCCTTTCTCTGATAGGCCAAGATTTATGTTACTCGGTATGTAAGACCCTCCTTCCAACTACATCAGATTGTGAATTGTTTTGGAAATGTTTGCTGTGGCTCCTTTCGTCTGCCTCAACGATCATCTGTTGGGAACATCATCGCGTCTTCCTGGCCCAGCAGCTGGCCTATGGCATAAATCCTGCGTCCAACCCTGATTAAACGATGTCTTTTGGAATATCCACAGTTATTTTATTTTCTCGGGAACTGCGAGAGAAAGGTCCTGAAGAGCAGCTGGTTCACAGGCAGGGGTGGCTCTCCTGAGATGGGGGTTGTGTGCTCATATCCCACTCGCCTGTTAAATGTCACGAAAGCTCCGCTAGCTTCAGCATCCTCGGTAGGCTGATGCTCTCTCTAGTGTTTCCCTGCTCAGGCTGTGTTGTTGTCGTAGCAGCCAGTAAGAGCAGCCAAGTTAGAGGTGAATGATGATACGTCTTATTAGCCTTTAATGCAGGGCACTTTATTATACAGATAGTTCGGCAGCAGAAATATCTGTCCAAATAAAACGAGTGTTGCCCATTTTTGGAGGACGCTAACATGTGGAAGGAAAAGCAGGTTCAGAAATGTTGGTATCTTACTTGGCACTTTCCGAATAATGCCCCCAGGAGATCCTGAAATTTGGATCGGGCATCATTTTCAGGGCTCTCCCCCCCCATCATGAAGACCAGAGATAAGTAACCCAGAGATAAGTCCAGCTTAAAATTAACCTCTCTTTCAAAGTCGCAAACCTTTAAGCTGTCTGTGTGCACATTTACTTTTATAAATGCAAAAAAGCCTTTTTGTCTGGTGTCACGTTGACTGTTTTATTCATTCCCAGGAGCGTGCTCTCCCGCTGCTCCGCTGGCCTTTACCGCCAGTGACTTTTATTCGGCCCGCGGTGAGACTGAGCTTATGGCAGCTCCCCCCATACCCTGCGTTTCAAAACATCCAAAACCTAGTTGTTCATGTTCTATAACATCTAAACATAACTGATGATGCAAAATTTCTGCCACTTACCTATTCACAGCTTGACAGGTGAATCTTTGTAGCATGTACAGCAAGAACCTCAAAACACGGTGGGGGCCATATTTAATGTGGGGAAAAAAATCTGGTGAAATCAGTCAGTAACCACTGGATGTCACTGGGTCCTATATGGTACAATGGGTTGTAAAGCAAAAAAAAAATCTTAATTTTGTTGAGTGGATTGAATGTAAGGCAGAAATAAAAAGAAGGGTCATATATGGCTCCGTGGGTTCAACAGGGTTAAATTTTAATGTATAGTTTTAAAATGTCCTTAGTTTAAGCCTGCGAGGTATATTTTAGATGTCTGTTGTCTGAAGACCCTTCCCACCGGCCCAACTGTTTCGCTTTCCTTTTTTAACCCAAAGACAAATTCAGGTCAGAATAAGCACAGCTTTTGTTTTGATATTTTGTTGTCTCTGGTTCATGGTTACGGTGCTGTTGACCTTCTTAGGTTCCGTATATCCTGGGTTTTATTATTTTTTTTTCTCCTCTGAGCATTATGATCGTGTGACCCAATCTGGCACTGCTTTCGGAAAGTGGTGATTTGGAAACCAGTTTTGTAAGGACAACAAGTGCTGCAGAGGAGAAAGGCGCTCTGTGTGTGTGTGTGTGTCTGTGTGTGTCTGTGTCTGTGTCGTCTGTGTGTGTGTGTGTGTGTGTGGCCTCTGCACTTGATTACGGTTCACACTAGTTTTTCCTTTGGCAGCCCTGAGCGTCTGAAGGCACGACTCCACCATTGTCATCCCCTCGTGGATATTCTGAGACAGACATGCTGTGCTCTTAAAGGAAATTCCCCAGATCCATCTGGGAGCCGGAGTCCTGTGTTTTGTCCGGAGCGTGCTTGTAGGGGATTCCGCTCTGGGGTTGGGGGGGGGGGGGGTGTAAGAGACATTTTCAACTTTTGATCTGATTCCCCTCCCCCGTAGTTTGTGCAGTTAAATTTTATTTTGTTCCATTTATGGTTCTCCGAAAATCTGGTTTCTCACACATTTTCTTTTTGCAAGAACAGAACGTGAAGATGTCTGTCACCCTCGTGGCAGTTTGTGTGTCGAAGATTAATGTGGGGTTACAGAAAAACCAGATTTTCCGCCAAAATATTGTAACTGGTTTCTGAAGTTCATACCCTTTTTTTGTTTTGTAACTTTTCATACGTTCATGTTGGCATGTTTGTGCTCCTCGATGGACCGTCCAGCGGCTTCGTCCCCAGTGTCACCTGGATTAGCTTAGATGGACAGATGGCTCTGCTACCTCAGCATTTAAAAGCTTCAAGTCACTACCTGACATTTAACTAAGAATGGCAGATTTCAGTTGGCTGGAGTTCCACAGACCTATTCTCTGTTCAATTTTGTGGGTCTCTAACAGTGTAAATGAAGCCATTTCTGTGCCCAAGGTATGAAAGCATCTCTCCAGGGTGACCTGATTAGCACCTGGTGTCTCACGTCTCTCTTCTGCATCCCTCCAGGTCAGATGTACCCGCAGTACCAGGCCCCAGGAGGGTACCCACCCCAGCAGCAGTATGGCATGCAGTACCAGGGTGAGAGCATCTCTTACCCATAATGCTTTGCTGTTAATGAACCCAAGGAATATTCCATTTTCAGCTGTGTGTTATAGGCCTGGTGTGGTGTATCTGCTGGGTTTCTGCTTCTCACCCTGTCTTTGTCCTCTCCATGTCCCCTTTCTAGCCGGGTACACTCCGCAGCCCGGGGCCCCCCAGCCGGCCCCCCAGCAGCAGCAGCAGCAGCAGCCCCAGCCCCAGCCGCAGCAGCAGTTCCAGAACTATGCTCCGCCCACTTCCCAGGCCACCTCCCAGGCCAGCACCCCCGTGGCAGGGTTTGCCGGGCAGCCGCCCCCCCAGCCGCAGGCCCAGGGAGTCCAGCAGTTCCCCCCAGGGGCATTTCCCCCACAGAATTATGCCTCCCAGGCACCTCAGCCCACCAACTACACCATGCCCCCCACCTCCCAGCCCAGCCCAGGCTACCAGCCCCGCCCAGGCTACACCCCGCCCCCAGGTAGCACGGTGACCCCGCCTCCGGGAGCATCTAACCCTTATGCTCGCAACCGCCAGCCGTACGGTCAGAGCTATACCCAACCTGGGCCTGGGTACCGGTAAGAATTTAAACCCGATCCCTAAAAGTGACCCATATCCATCTTTTGAGTACAAAAGATACAGTGGGTCTGCTGATTTCCCCCAGTTAAACTTTTTAATTGCGTATTTGTCCTTTGATTAACAAGACGGACCGCCCTTCTGTGTGTGTCATGGCACATTCCAACAGCGATGCAAAACACACAGACAGGAAACCAAATAGTCATTTACATAATAATTATGTAAAGAAGGAGCATTTTTTTAAAAATCACATTTGCCACCATGGTGTTGTATGTAAATGCTATGAAAATCTGCTTTGTTTAAAACACTACATAGGCATAAAGTATGTAATGAGTCTTAACTGGGAGATGTAGAATGGATGTCGAGTTGTTTAGTTCTAAGAATAGTTTACCCTTTTATTTCTCTTTCTGAACTGCTTTCCTACTAATAACCAAATCGGGATCCCACGTTGCAATGGTAGGTGTTCTGTATAAACAATAAAGTTCCTTATTCTGAGCTAATAAAGGCATGGAGACCCAGCATAATGTGTCTGGTACCTGACTTCTTTCTGCTGTGCTTGTTTGTGTGTCTAAGTGACTGAAAGACCATGTAATTGGCTGTAGCTGGGTGGATGGCTGTGTGCGATTGGCTGTAGCTGGGTGGATGGCTGTGTGTGATTGGCTGTAGCTGGGTGGATGGCTGTGTGCGATTGGCTGTAGCTGGTTGGATGGCTGTGTGCGATTGGCTGTAGCTAATATCAGATGTTTCTTCTGAGCGCCTTTCTCATTCTGAACAACTTGGCCTGAATCAAAACCGAAGGATGTTACAATTTCAGGGTTCAGAAAGATGACGAATCAAATCCTCAAAAGCTTCAAATCTGGAGGTTAGCCGCATTGCTATAGATGGCAGTGCAGGAATTTGTGAAATGCAGGTTTGGGTGCCACTTTTAATGGAGAGGGAGTCTGACAAAGGCTTTTAAAAAGGTTCAAATTTAGAAAAGCATTGTGTAATTGTTGTATTCATCAAGCCATGATTGCATTATTTAACCATCACTTAAATTCAGCAATTAACAAAAGGAAAAAGGAGAAAACATTTAAAAAGGGACAAAAGTCTTTTATTACTGAAATTACATAAACAGTATGAATGATCGTACATGTCAAACAGTACAAATTGCTAAACATTTCCCTTAAAAATGATTAAAACATATTTGCAATTAATGGTCAAGAGTTTCTGTACAAAATCATCAAACCCTGAACCCAAAGCATTGCATGACTTGCTGTATTTCCCTATTCTCATTCTCCCCATAATGTTTCTGTGACACACCTGTACAGGTGTTATGACTGTGGAGACTCAACACTTGAGGCCAAAGTTTGCCGCCATCCCCCCGCCATATGAAGTCTGCTCAAAAAGATGTTGCTCTCCATATACATATAAATACATTTAAATTTGTGCAAATTACAATTCTAAAGCCCTCTAGCCATAAAGTAGAGCAGGACTACAGTGACAGGGATGTGAACCTGGTACAAAGTGTCCTGTTAGTATCATGTGTCGCCTTTTCTGGCCCTCAGTAAGACCGTAAGCAGGAGAAGAAGTACATCAGGTAAGAGGTACGTTATCTGCCAGCCAACCCCCATCCCCCCCCCCCCCCCCATATTTGTTCTCTCTCATCCCCTTAAGTACTGTACCTCACAACCCCACTGGCTAAAGCATAATTAACACTTAATTACATCCTTTAGATAAATAACAATATACAAGATTTGAACAGTTTCAGGGAGCCAGCTTCCCAGTGTTTTGTACAACTGATCTACTCTGTCGTTTCATAATTCCTGTGAAGTTATTGCTTTGCTTTTCTGTCCTTTTCTCGTTTGTCCCATTTGATAAATACCGACAATGACTAAGCAGGCGTAACATATTACAGGTGCCCTCAAGTCATTTCTGTATGCATTTTGTAACTAGGCAGGGTGGGTGTGGCTATCGCTGTGGCATTCTGGGACACTTCCTGGGGAAAGTCCCACCCACCCCGTGCCTGACGAGGCCTCTTCAGTGGCTCATCCTTAGACACCTTCTATCTTCTCACCACTTCCCAGGTATTGGCGTCCCGCACTCGTACCATGCCACATAGCTGATGTGGGAGTTTCCTCCTATCTGGCCAAAGTGGACGGGTTCCTGTCTCACCGCTCGGTAGTACCCTGGGGGGTGGGAGGGTGATTAGGCTGAGGAAGCTGGGATGTACGACTTCGCCCCCCATCCCGTTTGTCTAAACCAACCACTATGGCTTTAACAGTCATTTCTTCCATTACTCATTTGCATCAAATGTAGGGTGACCAGGTAATCCCTGCCATTGGGGACACTTCTAGCTACTTCAGGTTTTTCCCTGCAGGTTTCAGGATTTAAAAACTCCTGTTCTTGGCTACGTAGCTTATTTCTTGTGTTTTGACTGGTTTGTTTCCTTGATTGAAAGACTCATCTAGCTGTTTCATAATAAAATTAGCAGCACATGCCATTATAGGAGACTGACCAATCAGCACACAGCAACAACTCAGTGCTTAATTGAAATGCAGGTCCTTTTAATTGAAATGGTAGTTTATAAACCCTGTCCTAGCTCAAAGTGACATCCCTGTCATGGATTATCTGGTCACCCTAATTAACTGTCTAAATCCATGTACAAAGTCTATAAAATGGACAATAAATAGGACTATTACAGCCCCATTCCATGCGGGGCTGTAATTTTACGGATCTGTGGTTTGTATTTTAATGCAAATGATGTATGTTTTTAGTGTCAGTGTTGTCTGCAGATGAAGAGGCCTCATCGTACTTCATGCAGAGGTGAGTTTCAGTTTTTGAGGGCAGTGATTAGGTACGAAGCACCAATGCAGTGTGATAGAAGAACTCCATCAAACAGTAGTACCTGGTCGTGGGGGAAGCTGGTCTGCCAGAAGCTGGCTTCCTGTCCTCCCATCAAGGAAGGAGTCCACAAATTGGCAATGGTCCTCACCATGGCCTGTCTGGTCCCCAATGTTGTAGAATTTTCCTACAAGGAGAACGATGATGATCCTTAATCATGAGGAGAACATGCAAACTCCATATAGATGGAGACCCATAACATCCATAGAGATGTTATGGGTCTAGATCTGCTGTGCAGGAAGTTGCCTCCTAAACAGAGTGGAGGACATAGGCTCACCATTAAGGGAGTCACTCAGGTAGATTTTGTATCGCAAGGAATTGCAAAGCTGGATGCCGACAAACTTGCGATACCAGGTCCTCTTCACGTACTGCTTCCCATTGCACTCAGAGTAGGAGTCCGACTTGAAGGGAAACTGAGTCCAGATGGCGTCTTTACCTGCAGGATAGGGTGGAGGAGAAAGTAATGACTGAAGGAACAATTAATGAATAACACAAGTGAAATACTCATCTCACGTTTGTTCATAATTAATGAATCGTGACAAATCTTTTATCTCAAGTAGCGACTATATTTATTCATGATTTCTACTTCAGTAGTAACTGAGTTACTACTAAGGCTTTTGTACCCCCTAAAGTAAAGTGTTACCGAATGTTCTATACAATTGCATCCCTGAATTCGGAGGCTTATAAAAAATATCCTATCTCTGCTAATCTATTAAGCTATTTTCTATTTAAGCTGTTTCCGTGCACTTGTAAATTTCAAGAATTGGCTGCAAGGGCTAAAAATAATGCTTTCTTCCTTGAAAGGAGAGAGAACGTAAGAATGTGCTTGACAAAATATAAGAACACTGTCCCAGTTTACATAGTAACGCGCTGTGCAGTAACTGCCCGTGCAGTACAGGATAGAGTAGTATAAGAACGCTGTCTTGTGCTGGTCCTGTGTCAGTGTTTGGCCTGGCCTGCTCTCAGGTCTGGAAGAAGTGAACTCATAACACCGCGGAGTTCTCTCCTTGGACGGTGGATCATCGACCAGCTGTGTTCCAGCCAGAAAAGCTTATGCTCGCCATTAATCCCGACCCAATCAGAGGCTGCCAGGAGGGACTCACCTGAAACATTCTCGCTCACTCGAGGGTCCGCTGAGGTGTGCAAAAAGAGAGCAGACAAAGGCATTACCCATTTACACACTGTTGCAGTCCTTTAGATCGAAATTGCAAGACAAATTTGACAGGGCTATGGAGACTCTGCTTTTTACTGTGCAAATCTGCAACTGTTCATTGGCGTTAGCCCCCTGCAGGTCTTAGGCTACAAAAGTGACTAGGATGTGTGTAGTTGGATCCCCTTTCTGGATGTGTGGAGGTAGGCCTCAGGCGGTTGGGTTCTGGATGTGTGGAGGTAGGCCTCAGACGGTTGGGTTCTGGATGTGTGGAGGTAGGCCTCAGGCAGTTGGGTTCTGGATGTGTGGAGGTAGGCCTCAGGCGGTTGGGTTCTGGATGTGTGGGGGTAGGCCTCAGGTGGTTGGGTTCTGGATGTGTGGAGGTAGGCCTCAGGTGGTTGGGTTCAGTTTCGACGCGTTGCAGTGGCTGTGTACCTGACTCTGTGTTGAATGACACCGGCTCAGTAGTTGGGCCTTCTCCAAGTTCATTCTTTGGTTTTACTTTGAACTCATAGCTATAAAGAAACAAGGGGAGGTTAATTTATTTTTATGTTTAGTTAAAAAAAAAAGACAGCACATACAATGTCTGCATCCCATCTCCAAAGTAGTGACATCTGATATTTTTATTCTTCAGACAATCTCCAGTCATGGCCATACACCTTCTGTAATGACTTTTCCATGTGAAATGGTGAGACGTTGCAGTGGCCTCAGATCGAGGAAACCCTGGTTTATATTGTGTCTGACAAGCAGTGCCAGATGTTCAGCCCCATTACTGAAGCAGTGTTCCACCCCCATTCACCCAGGCCCTACTCTGCGGTGAGGGATTCTCCATCAGAAAACCACAGGATTCGACAGAAATCACTGTGAAAACAAATGACTTTGATTTTGAAAATAGGAGTTTCCAAAGGAAATATTTATGTCATATTGAGTAATGACAGGAAGAAATAACGTAAATAACAGGAATTTTCTGCTGCTAGAGAATGTTATGTTGAATCGTAATCGACTGCATGCTCACTCAATAACGGCGGCTTACTTGATACCCTCCAGTCTAATAGCATTATTCCAATCAGCAAAACACCACTGAGTTTGTCTGCCGTTCCAGCACAATACTATGGTGGCTCATAATTAAGGCTCTACGTTCTTAAAAACGGCAGACGGTACCTTCTTTCTGGCCTGAGGTTCTCCACAGCTGTGTGCGTTTGATTGGTGGTCAGTATGGAGACTTCCTCACCTTCTGGACCTTTTGTCGTGGAGATTACTTCATACTCTGTCAGAAGAGAACATTGCATAACCTGGTTTGATGCTCTGCTTGTATTGTGCATTTCAGAGTGCTATTAGTGCAATTATAGGTAACACTTTATTTGATGATGCACAAATAATGTAATATGCTATTATTTATGTAATAATTAGCCACAAAAAAAGTATTAGGCACATAGTGGTTATGTTCATTCATCATTAATGAATCATGACGCATCTTTTGTCTCAAGCAATTACTGTATTTGTTACTATATTTGTTAATTCTGTAAACCTTTGTGAACAACTGAAAGAATGAGTAATGAAGGACACATTATATTGATCTCATGTTTGTTCATCATTAATGAATCGTGACGCATCTTTTCTCATGTACCTACTATATTTGATCATGATTTGTACCTCAATAGTAACTGAGTTACTAATAAGTATTTGTGCCCCGTCAAGTAAAGTGTTACCTAATTATACATTTGAATGAATTGTGCAAAACTATAATTCATGGCCCCACCCAGCCACACACCTGTGGTCTCATTGTCCGTTTTATCCCAGTCCAAGATGATAAAGGATGGGCATCCCTCCACCGTCACCACTGTGAGGTTAGAAGGTGCCATCTTGGGGGGGCCAGTGACGTTCTGCTCCCCTCCCTCCTCGTCTGAGAAGTGGCTGAGGGAGGTGGTAATGGAGCAGGGTTCATCCTGCTTCTTGTCCGTCTTGTAGATCACATGAGGAGCTGCAGCCAGATTAGTTACCTTAAGAGACCATGCAGTGTCCCTCCAAAGCTCATAAAAGTGTAAACGATTTGTCAACAGAAGAAGTATGACAGCCTATCAGCTGGCTCTAATGTAGCATGATTGGTTTATCATATGAGGATGACAGTCTCCCTGCCAGAACTGTACAATAAAACCCAATGGTCTAAAGTAAATCTGCAAATAAAGCAAGTGTCTGAAGCAGCTTCCAATGTTTCAAGCAAGTGAGAGTTGGAAAATCCTCTGATAAAACAAGGTTCAAACCACTCGTGAAAAACAGAGTGTGGAGTACTTTACCCACAAAGCGTTTCTTCCCCATTGCATCCACCTCTGAGATGGGCCGGTTGCTGAACACGGGGGAGTTGTCTCGAATGTCAAACTGGCTACCTGTGAGAGCAAGAAATGGTCCAAAACTACAAATCTTTTCAACGATCAAGAGCTCAAAATACTGTCCAGAATGACTACTTGTTGTGCTAGTGCTTACAGCCAGGAGTCCCCAGGTCCCACATGTCTATAGGCCTTGCTCCACCTCCAAAGGTCAAACCTACGTTCCCTACCTTCCCACACAGCTACCTAGTGGACAATATTCCATTTCTCACTATAGTCCAACTATGCAGTTGTACCATTAGACGCTGGAGCAACCGGTGTTGTTGTTCTATGCTCCTGCTTGGTGGGCTTTGGCGTGGCAGGAGGTAAGTTTGGCTTCGGGAATGCAGACATGTCTGTTTGCTTCAGGTCGGTGGCCTTTCCTGAAAGGGATTGACAGAATACCATTAGAGGTGCCGCTTGTCAACATCTCTATCATCTAAACTAGCCTAGGGATTGGTGTTCAGAAATCCTCAGAATGGTTACAATGAGCAAATGTTACAAGAATTGAGTCTGTTTTACTAAAATAAACGTTTTACAGATTGCAACTACATATGAGGAAGAAGTGGGAGTTGGTTTGACCCACCAAGCAGAATATTGACCCTTTGGTACCTCGGGCATGAATAAAGAACAGCCGCAAGAAGGCCATTTCATAAATGTGCGATGATCTACAGTATATGGAGTGGTGATAAGCACTTGGAAAACATTATGCAACACAAAAATTGAACAGTATCTACAGCATTGCAGGATTTTTTTCTACTCTATTTTTACTACTATCTCTCTGCTTAACCAGCATTTATGGTATTATTGGATTTCAGGTGAGACATCCTCCAGTGTAATATTAAGTCACTCTTGGAACTATCAAATTACAAACAGTGTCCTTGACCACCACGTCTGTATACACAGCCTTCACAGAGAACTGGGGTCCTCCTCAGCACTTACCCTTATCTCCAGGCTTTCCAACCTGGTTGATCTTCTTGTTGCCTGGGACAGTGTTGCTCTGTGAAGAAGATCCTGGAAAATGGAGCCAAATATGCACCGTTAGTAATCGAAGTGACAGTGAGCAACCACTGACCCATGTAGAAGTGATTCTTTGCTTGTGGAAGCGTAGAACATCTTTTACATAAAACTGTAAACAATACAGATTGCTGTCAAGACAAAAGCGGGGGGAGAGCTAACAGGCCAATGCCCAGATCTCCATAAATGTAACATTCTGAAAGTCTGGTAGGAAACACAAGTAGAAGAAAGGGATTCTGAATTTTTAAGTTTTAAAAAGAGTCATGGCAAATTGGACTTGGTTTAGCCAGCAGGTTATCACAGCATAACCTAATCACTACTTCACCGATATTATCTTTACCAGCAGAAACATAAGTTAACCAATAGGAATCAGTCCCGAGTATTTGAGTCATGACATTAATATGACACGGCCAAGCAATGAATCAAATCACCAGACTTTTCAGTAAAAAGCTGTTATAAGCTCATTGAGCTAAAGTCCAATTAAACAACTCCTCTGACTTTTAGAGGAACACTATGCACTGAACTGTAGTCGTCTAAAATGCTTCAGTCCACAGATGAAGTGAAATCCTGAACAAGTCACCTGGGAAGAATCAAAACAATCAAGCGAAAACATGTCTGTGTGTATCTGTTCTTTTCCAAGTACATTTTTATAACTCAGTAAAAAAAAAAAAACTTTTTACTATACAAAATAAACACTTTATTAAATTGGTCATAATTTATATCTTGGAATAGTCATTTATAAGGCTTAGCGTTTTCAAAAACTCTATTTGGCATTGCAAAATTTTGATTACCAAAGAGAACCTTTGCTTAATAAAACTTCACTCATTTTCTTTCATAACAAAACCAACACAAGATATTTCATTGAGAGGGGAAAGAGTAGAGAGCAGTAAATGCTTGGGTCTCCACTTTTCTGTCTCACTTTTATGTTCAGATCTCACCAGCTGAACAAATACACGTACTAAATATGTAATAATTCAACATTAAGTAATTTAACAATCTAAACCTGGTGATCATTGCATTGCCAAGAAGATGAAGAGGATGTAATTCTTGGGGTGAGACTGGGGGAAAAAAACAAGTACAAAAATTTGAATGCAAAAGCTGGAAAAAAAAATAAATGCGATATATAGTTAATGTCAAAAAGCATCATACTTTCTGTGCGAAAGTACTGTCCAAAGACTACCAAGAGCCTTTGGTAGTGGTGACAGCTGAATGGAAAAAGGGTGATGGTTTTAATGGGAGGCTAAATATTAACTGGCAGCATGTTAACATGCAGGCAATGACTAAAGGATGGAATTCAAAATGCACATGGGGCTGGCTGAATGGGAAGCTGGCCATCTGCACAAGACTTTACCATAGCGTGGATCGCCACTCGAAGGCCTTGATTGGCCAATACCATCACGGACCCCAGGCTTTATGTCTTCCAGGGAGTTGTTTGCTGTGGGGAAAGTTCTGGTGTTAAAACCAGGGGGCTGGGTATTCAAGAAGTGCATGACGTACGATGAGACCAGTCACATAGTCAGCATTATTCTTTTAATTTCAGTTTGTATAATTTCAGATCAAATGCTTGGATGACAGACTGGGCAATTAAGCAATGGGGAAAATCAGCCTGCAAAACTGTCAATCACCATATGTTCCCAGTCACAGACTTCAATACCCACGTCCTGTTGGTTACTTTACTGGTACCCATTCAGTTCCACCAGCCAGTGAATGGTGCCTATTAATTTACCATCCAGTGTGTTAAATACACTGAACCCAAAAAACTGGCAAAACTGGAGACTTTTTCCATGTTAAATATACTGGCACGTAGCCAAAGTAAAGTTTTTTTCTCTCTGATTTTAATTCAGACAAAAGCACTTTTCCAAAGCATATAACATCTGTTTCTTAAAAGCAGTTTACTGTAAACATGTGCAAAAATTTACACAGCAAGCATAGAAGACAGACTAAGACGTATACTCAGACAGACTGGAAATTTCACACAGATGGACGAGAACCCAACACTATTTTACCATGGATGTAGGTAGCTCATGCTTGATGTGCAGGACGGGACAAACGTGCAAATACGCATGCGCCTGGTGGTCCTTAACGTAAGGCCACGGAATACAGAATACAAGTCAGAGGAATGAAGTAGATCTAGGGCACAGTCAATCCTGATGAACTGCTGACCAGAATAATTTGACTGATTAGCCTTGAGCCTGGCAACTAGATTGTCAAATAGCCCAGTTAACATAGCTGGGCATGAGAGGATTATGTGTAAATTGTCTTGTATTGCACTGGCTGAAGGCTTACGAAACCGTCAGTTTCTGCTCCTGAACATGACCCAGGACTAAATCCACAGCACTCAGAATATTCAAACGCCAAGCGCCGATCAGAAAGCCTTTGCTGATGGCTTCTCTGCCGTCGGCGTGGGGTCTGATTGCAGGTGACTGCCGAAAACCATCTAGTGATGGCTAGAAGTTTGTTGTGCCCTACAACAAGTCTGCGGAAGCTTGCATAGACATCTCACATCTGGGCAGCACAAAACACATGGGTCACACGGTCACGGATGGAGGGCGACACACACAAACAAGCACATGACATGGGCGGACTTCAGCATCAACAACGATGCCCTGCAAGAATGGAACAAAGGCGTGTATCTACAAAGTAGTTAATGAGCAAGAGAGACAAAGTAGTATTCAACTAGATTACCCAATTGCAATCCGGACCATATGGGAAGAGAGAATCCTTTAAGGTGTTCACCATTAACTGTTGAGGGAAAACATGAAAATCCCATGTGTCAGCCAAAATATAGTGGGTCAACATCACTATACACCTCACTGATGGAAAATCACTCATTCAGAATGAATGTGAGATCTCTACAAAAGAAATTTTTGAATGATTTAGAGCGCTCAATTAGATAGGAAATTCTCCTGCTAAGCATATTTGGGACACATACAACTAACTGTGGACCAATACGGAAAAGCTTATTGTGCTGATTTATGTACATGGTGGACTATGTTGGTGGAAATAACTTTAAAAACCTAATGTTTCGGCAGTTTCTCCGAAAGGGCTGAGCAAGGAGGACATTATTAGCAAGCTGTAGCCAATAGACAAGAAGGGGATCGGACAGTTTAGCTGCACTGAGATTGCAAAGGTAGTACCAGAGAACAGTGGAAGAAACATATTAACACACGTATCCACATGATCTGTGGAAAGAGAGTGGGCTCTTGAGCCATTACAGTATGTCAACTTGAGGTAGTTCACTGAAGGAATGAAAGAAGCCAGGCTTTGCAGCTGAATTTTAGACCAGTCTGGAGAGAAACAGAGGACGCTGTCTTTGAGGATAGCAAAGAAAGCACAGAGTGCTTATGCTGAGGACTGGAAGACAACACTGGTTCACTGTTAGGAAGGAAAACAGAGGTGGCGAGGCGGCTGGTTAGGGGTAAGAGAGATTCCATTACCCCCGTGTGTCATCACGGTCTGGGAAGAATTAGTCGACCTGGGTGGGAAATGTTGCCTCATGTTGTTAGAGGCCGAGAAAAGAACAGCACTGTCTCGTGACGTTGTCAGGTTTCTGGCTGCCATGGTAACAGCTGAGTTCTGAGGGACAAGTGCTGTGGACGAGGTCAAGTTTCTCCGCGCATTTGTACCTGGATGAACAAAGAGAACAGCAGGTGTGGGTTATGGGGACTCAGAGAGGTGCATTAAATAGGCTTCGACTACAGGTATGGCTGAACCCAAATGAGAGTACCCTGGCATCCAGGATGGTTTTGGGCCTAATGGCTGGGTTTTTTCTTAAATCCCTTCATTTGTTTTAATTAGTTTTATGGGCTGAAGCCTTTAAAAGTGATTAAAATTCCAAAATCAAAAGGCCTCTTGATAGTCTAATAAACTATCGGAGTACAAGGTGCTCAAGGTATCTCAAACACTTGTTAAAGTCACAAGTGACCTACTTACTCCAGTTACCGAGTGCAACAAAAAAGACATCTGGCATATGCATCACTGAGATGCAGGTGCAGGTTAGCTGGTTAATAGAACTAACCCAAAGAGTAGTCACAGTGACACAGAACTGTGGAGTCATGTCCGTAGACAGCAAGCAGAAAAAACGGAACTCAAAGCAACAGGAGGCCTTTCCCACTGCAAGAACTTTTTCTGGAACAGGAACTTCTGTCATGTTCCCACCGCAATGTAGTTCCTGGGTGGTGGTCCCTGAATTTATTTTGTTCAACCAGGAACTATTGAAGTGGGCTAACTTGGAAGTTACACAGAAGTGCGGGGAGCAGAGATGGAGATAGTGGAGCAAAAACTGAGCAGATGAAATTATTTTTGTACCAATTTGTAAAATTTGGCTGATACCAAAATATTTTTGTGCAATATTGCCGATACTGAGCGTCGGGGGGATGAGGTGGGATGAGTCGGCGGTGAAACTTGCCAGTGGAATAATGTTCCATAATTTTTTTTTATTATGTGGAAAGTGAAAGATCGATCTACTGGCCATATTTTATGATGAATTAAAAACATGTTGCATGCCATAAAAAAACTGTATTGCGGGCCAGCACTTCGAGACCTTTTTTAAGTAGAATTGCCATCCATCCCGTATTTTACGAGATTGCCCCGTATTGTAAAATAAAATGCTGTGTCTCGTTTTTAATCAATATGGGACATGATTTGTCCCGTATTTTTGCACCTCTCAATCGACCCCCCACTCCCCCACCCCCACTAACTAGCAAATGACTAATAAAACAACTTATTCTTCCTCCATTTATTTGGGGTGGCATTGTAGTTTCCTCACTTATAAGATTATGTCATCATGTTTCACCTACAAAGTTTTTCGTCTCGTATGCTTACTTAGCATAACGGTCACAGTTCCTGTTGTGCGGTGGGAACACGACACATGACAGTGGCCAGGAAATACAAAAGTTCCCAGTCCAGATAGCCCAGGAACTCAGAACCAGGAACCAGGTTCCTGATGAGCTTCAGTGGGAAAGCACCTATGGGTGACTAGTAGTAATGGACAAAATTAACCATGAACCATTTCCTTTATTTTTTGACCCCACTAGGTGGTGCTGTTGATTTGCTTTTTGACATGCTTTGTGCCCTTTCTTGATCAGAGAGCACTATCTAGTGGAGTTAAAAAAAATACAGCAAATGGTTCATGAAGCATCGTTTTGTCCATCACAAGTGACTACACTGGGAATTTTATGGTTTTATGGGTGTGGGTAATGGGGAGGTGGTTGAATGAAACACGGAAGTCACACCTATGAGAGGGGGGAAGATAAATTCAACAATTAACACAGAGAGTAATGCAGCAGCTGGATGAGCCTAGTGAGGACAGAAGAAACAGTCAGGTGATGAATGTGATGACATCACCATTACCCCAGCCATCATCATGTGGTGGCTCGTAGGTGGGGGTGGACGTGAGCAGAGAGAGTCCTTCCCAAGACTCGCCAACAGCTGTGTGAGAGACAGAGCTTTTATGTGTCTGAGGTAGATAGAGACAAAACACGGGGAGGCTTCTTCCAAGTCTTCGCACATGGCCCCCATAGACTTGCAGGACAACAGTATACATCAGGGTTATTCAACTCACGGTCCTCGAGGTCCGAGCACTGCTGGTTTTCCAGCCTTCCTTTACCTGTCAGTCAGGTGTGAAGCCTCTGACCAATCAGAATCAGTAATTATTAAACAACTACCTGGGAGAACTGAAAACACGGCCTGGATTTGGAATCGAGGTCCAGAGTTGAAGAACCCTGGTATACATGGTCGGGGCACAAAATGAGGGAGAAAAATATATGTACATATTTTGGGGGCATTTACCAGAAGGGTTGTAGAACTTCCGAGTGGGACGGGGTACTCTGGGCTGGGCTCGCCCCTGGTGATTTGGAAAGGGAGTTGGGACATGTGCAGTGGAGCTGCGGAGGAGATTCGTGGTAGGAGGAGCTCCCCCTGACTGCTGTGACACGTTTGTAACTGAACTTGCCCTTCCTGGGTGAGATAAAGAGAGAGGAGCAGTGACTGGCGGATCCACACTGGCGTCCGACTCTGAATCACTCGGAGGACCAGATTTGGTAGCACCTGGACTTTTACCATAACAAATCAACAACTGAGACTGTTCAGTTGTTTTGCTTCTTTTTCTGGACTTTGATGTCTGTGATATAATTCAAATCAATTGTAATAGTCATTCTTTAGATAGAATTTAGGAATTCAGAAAAGAATCTGCATTAGTGTCGTCAAAGTTTTCTGGATCTCAGTAGCACCTCCTGGAGAATACAAATTCTTTCAGTGCATGCAATGGTGACATGCAAACCCAGCACTGCCACGGGCTGAAAGCACATCTCTGCAAACAAAAACCATGAATGGAAGAATATTCAGGTGAACAGGAGGAAGGAAGTGAAGGAAGGAGGAAGGAAGTGAGAGATGTACCACAGGAGGGCACAGAAGAACTGAGAAGTACTCCTGCTTTTAGTAGTAAGTAATAGTAAGGTGGAAGTAACTCATTACGAGTGAAGTGCGTACTGGATCATTATTAGGATCTGTAATAAGCATTAATTTATCCCATTTTCACCATATAGAAAAATGATCTGTGGTTCTTGGGAATTGACCTCATCAGTCATTTGTACAAGAGTTCAGATAGAGAGTGAAACCACTCATAAACTAAACAGAAGAAAGTACTGGCAAGGGGAAAAGCCCCCACCATCTCAGACACAGGGTGCATGAGGCGAAAAAACTAGCAGTAACTGTGATTGGGACATGGGGACGTAGACACTGGACAAGAACGGTGATGTGAGTGCGACACAGTGGAATGAGCGATGGAGGCAGGACTTATGGTGGCTACAGCAGGAACAAGCAACATCCCCTCGAGGCGCCAGAGGCAGCGACTTTCCGGGCAATCGCGTGAGCAAGACGCAAAAGAGAAACTCCATGCACAAACCTCAAAGGGTCGGAGCCAGACCACTTCGTCACCCAGTGTCGCTTACTTATACCGGCAATTCCTTGATGGTCCTCTCATACCAGTATGAGACTCCTCTCATACCATCATTGAGGATCTTGGACTTTCTATGGACTCATGGCATGCCAGCATGCGGCCAATACAAGAGCAGAGGGCCCCCGCCTCCCCCCCCGCAATGCAACGAGAGGAGCCAAGCACTGACCAACTGGGAAGACAAAAAAAAAAGTGTCTCTCTGTTACCAGGTGTCAACTGAACCCAGTGAGGCAGAGTGGTTCTTGGGATGGGGGATGTTTCCAGACGGCCTGAAGGTAGCACTGCAGAAAAATAATGTAGGCTTTCAAAAACTCAGAATAACTAAAATAAAGCAGGGGAAGCACATTGGATGGATAGCCGCGTTGTACCCATCTGGAAAAGGACTAGGAGCTGGGCTCAGTAGTAACAGAGGGATTCAGAAGGTCACACATGGCTGACGCAAAGAGCCACACTCAAGTTTACCATAGGAGGTCTTTGGAGTGCTGGGAAATCCATTCCTCACTGGGGCTGTTTCTGTGTGCAGTGTCCCGTTCTGCAGGCCTAAGGGGCGGAGGGAGGTCAAATCGTAAAAATGACCTGCAGCTCTTCCCATCTCGCAGTATGGCAAACTTCATTCAGGTGCACAGCAACTGTGATTCATTACAGGAGAATCAAATTCGGCTCCGCTACTATTGGTAATGCTTTACTTGATGGGGCTCAAATAATAGTATTATGCTATTACTTTTCTATTAATTAACCACAAACAAAGTATTAGTTAAAACTGATCTCATGTTTGTTCATCTTTTATCTCAAGCAGTTACTATATTTGTCACTATATCTGTTAATTCTGTAAATCTTTGTGAACTACTGAAGGAACTACTGAAGGAACAAGTACTGAATAACACAAGTGAAATACTGATCATTAATGAATCGACACATCTTTTATCTCATAGCTGCTATATTCATTTATGATTTGTACTTTGTACTGAATATTTGTGCCCCATCAAGTGTTACCCCAATATCTCTACCATTTACTTCATACGAGAAACCAAAAATCTTAAATATGTAGCCGCTTCGCAATGCTATTCTTCGGTATGCCAGTAACATACTCATTTCACTACTCTTCAGTATGCCAATAACATACTCATTTCATGCTACAGAATCCAGATCTCCATATACACTATAACAGTACATGTATCATGTATTCATACGTAATAAGTCCAGTTATTTTAATGTATATAATAAAGGTTTATTAGGATCTGAAAACAGTTTAAACCTCACCATTAGGGGATAAGTGTTCATGGGTTCCAGTCACTGGCTTCTAAAAAGTGAATTGAAATGAATTTTCAGTTAGAAATCCACACATTTCCTGTGTCATGTCAAGTGCTTAAATTTTACCCCGTGTAATTATAATCCGCGCTGTCATCAGTGCCCTGCACTTCCAGCGCCCTGCGGTGTTACTTGACCAAAACGGAGGGATCTCTTGAGCCCCATCTTTCCCCAGGAGTATCGCATGCTACGGCCTGCCTTCCAGTTTGAATTTCCCTCAGAAGGTGCCAGAATGTCTGTCACTGTGCTGTAGCCTGGTAGCTAAGGAAGGGGCGCTTAGCGTAGCGTAGCTGCTAAGAAGGATTAGCCTCTGGTTATAGCTGAACATCACGCAGAGTGTTTAGCAAGTGCGACTCAGGAGCACCTGGAACCTAAGGAGCTGTATCTAAATATCTGGGGCATCGGATCCAAGGGATGCAACCCTGAAGCAAAACACCATCTTGCACCCAGATGCGTAAATAAATTGCGAAAATGATACAGTATCCACTTTGCAAGAAGAACTGAATCCAATATGGGCTCAAGCGAAGATGAAGCTTAAGACACGCTGCAGTTGGGTCGTGACTCGTCTGACCCTGCCCTGCAGTTGGGCCGTGACTCGTCTGACCCTGCCCTGCAGTTGGGTCGTGACTCGTCTGACCCTGCCTTACCCGCCTGTGTGATGGACAGCAAAAAGCATCTCCAGGAGGGGAAGAGGATAGAACAGGGTGGGGGGGGGGGCACTGAAGGAAAACAGATGTTAGATTGCCCTGGGCTTCCTCCCATTGGCCTACTTGCCTCTGGCACGCTTAGTTGTTTCTCACTGGGGACGCAGGGCGGAAAAAAAAGAATGGAAGGAAAGACAAAAAAAGAGGCAGTCGTGCTCACAAAATATAAAAACGGCAAAGCAAGATATTGTGGAGCTTTTAAAGGCAGCTGCCTGTGGAAACAATCAGGGGTTTGAAAGCGAGATGGACCCCGTTCTCTGTCTTCTAGTAAAGAAGCCACCAGTGACCCAGAGGGATTCGTACCACCGGCTTCATGTTGGAGACCCTCGGCTTGAAGGGCTTCGGCACGCCTTTGTCTGAAAGACATAACGTGGCAACAAGAGAAAAGGCGTTAAAGCCTGAGCTGTCAATCGCTTATTCTTTGCACACAACTTTACGAGGGGGAATATTGGAGTTAATTGCACACAAAGCAACCTACACGTGTCCCCATCACGCTCGGCATGTGGCCGGGCTCTGCTCCTGCCAAGGGTGGCTAGCATTGGTGGTATGCATATGGAAAGCCTGCATGCTGGCCGAGCAGAACGGCAATCTGCTGTAGCACTTAAAATAGTGACGCAAAAACTGATTTTAGTGGCAGGCAGTATTTTTCAAAATAAAAGTTTGCACATGCTGTTGTGTTCCTCAAAGATTTATTAAGACCACATGTTTGGTGTGATACTTAATGCTTTTACCCTCGGACCGGCAAGGAGAGGACTGTATGCTAAATACGACAATACAAGGAAATTGATTAGGTTAACAGTGGAGGTTATGGCTGTGATTTGGCCAAGGACAGCATGTTTCTTCCCCATTGACGTAGGTAAGAATCATTACAAGCAATATACTGTACCATCTACGCCGGTATTGTGAAGGACGGACTTGCTCCAGGTGCCCATACGCTCATTCTTGCTGGGCCGAACGCCAAACTCGTACGGCGTGTTGGGCTTTAGGTTGTCAATGACCGTATTGCTGGTGGGGCAAGTCTGATAATTCCACTTCCTGTTCCTCTCCCTGTACCGGACAGTGTAGTACCTGTACAAAACAAAAATAGCCAACGTAGTTTACAGAAATCTCTTTACGTCTTAGTTGTCCAAAACTTTTGTCCAAAACAACATGAATGTGGAATAATTTACTACATCACAGGCTGATAAATCTCGCAGCAACACAGTCACCCGGTCGGTCAATGTCAGCTGATCAGGTTTCATTCGTTTTTTTTTTTTTATTTTGTTTTTAGTTTTCAGGCATTCAGTAACGCTCACGGCAGTAGCCAGGCAATAAACTGCGGCAGCTGACGTTAGGCATTCAGCGTCAAAGGCTTAGAGGACACTTTGAGAGTTGGCTTAGGTCAAGCTTTCCGACAGCTTTTCCAACAGAGGGAGGAGAAGGAGCTCGAAGTCAAAGTGGAAAAGTGTGCAGCAGCGGCCGAGTCCCACTGGCTCTCACTCTGCTTACACACCTGCAAGCTCCACCCAAGATCCTCCCCTTTATGTCATTTTCACAGCACCATAGTCTGTTGTCATTCACACTCATGATGCCATCTACAATATCCATCAAAATCAGCACCTTTGCCCATTTACATTTATATACAAGTCTGTAATTTTTTATTGGACTAAAGTAGGTTTTCCTCAGGCTTCTGCAGCTAGACCTTTCCTAGCACCTGGGTGCCTGTATCACAAAGCCACATTTCTTGCTTAGCCGGATAACTTGTAGGATTTAAGGTACCCCAGTATACTTGACTTTATCTTTGTTCAATTACATTTAGCCCAGACTACCTTAAATCCAAAAAGTTATCCAGCTATGCAGAAAATCCTGATTCGTGATACAGGTACCTGAACTTTAAAACCTGATGCTTGTCAAAGGAACCATTTGGGGCATATAAGTAACTTTCAGCGTGACCGTTTATTCTGGAAGCAACTTTTACAGGAACATGTTTTCTTCCAGAAACGTAGAACAAAGCTCAAAGTATTAACAGACTGCAATGGCTTACTATTAAATTCCAAGTCTGGCCGGCAGTGCCATCGATTTCTGGTTTACTGATGGTAGGAGGGCTAATATGGTATACTGGGGTTCCTTGGCAAACTGTACTACTACTGATATTATTAGTCACTAGCATGAAGGTGGCCATTACATTATTTTCATAAAAAGATAAATACATTTCATTCATTACACCCCTAGTGGTTGCTTAAACATAACCGCTAGTCTCGTGCTGGGCTGCATTCAAACCACACTGGACATTTTCCTGTGAACCACTTTCAGTATGTGACGGATAGGGTGGCTGATGGAATGTCCTCCTGCAAGCCCAAAGGATCAAATTCATATTTCCAGGTATGATCCCGAAGTCCTACTACACGACCTAGAGTTTAAACATGACTCTCCTCTGTCAAGTTTGTAGCAAATATGTTGGATCACGTCTTCACAGGAGATGCATCAAAACTGGAACACTCTTCAGTTCCTGAGAGACCAAGAATTAAAATCTGAGGGAAATCCCTCTCCGCATCTACCTGTCAGCTCCTTGGATTTGGACCCTGAGATTTTGAGGACATGATTCATAGCAGAGGGCTGTGAGCAGTTACTAGACATATTCCTGGCCATATTTTTCTACTCACCCATCCTCCAGACAATCGTTCATTGCGCTTCCATCGTAGGGCGTCTTCAGTAAGGTTCCCCAGGAGAGCAGCACGGACGTGGGGGACACCGTACCGATCACCAGGTGAAGGGGCTTATCCAGGTTCATTTTTCCTAAGCAGTTGTGGAAGTTGTGGAAGTCAAGTTTTGCTTTGATATGTACAGCAGAAGACACTCATCAAGAACCAAATTAATCTTGATGATACAGATAATTATTTAAACTGTTTATACATTGATTTGGTAGCACTGTACTTGACAGGGCACAAATATTATTGTAAAAAATCTCAGTTACTACTGGAGCACAAATCATGAACAAATATAGTAGATATATGAGATAAAAGATGGATCAAGATTCATTAATGATGAACAGACGTGAGATCAGTATTTAACTTGTGTCATTCATTACTAATTCTTTCAGTAGTTCACAAAGGTTTACAGAATTAACAGATATAGTAAGAAATACTGCTTGATAAAATGTGTCATGATTCATTAATGATGAATCAACATGAGATCAGTATGTAACTAAGACTGTTCACTTAATACATAAGTAATAACATAATACTATACATAAAATGAAGTGTTACCATGTATCTTACCTGAGCACTGCTTCTTCACGGCATTGGTGGCAATAGGCTGCACTGCAATCAGATACTTGGGTTCTGCATCTAATTGAATACAATTGAAAGGTCAAGTTGCGTTATTTACCCCAGGGAGCGCAGTGTCATGACAAAGCCAGGGCAGCCAAACTGACTCTGTGCAGATTCTTTGAGTACAAGTGAGCCAAGGCCACCTCAGAAACTGGCCACAAAAGGAGAAAATATCAGGAAAGGCACATGATTGCAGATTATGACTGGGGAAACAGCACACACCCAGCCGTTTGAGCAAATGAAGTTAACTAAATATATGTAAGCTGACAAATGCATAATACTGTATGTGTACCGGCCCACAGATCAGAACATGAGGCACTGGGGATCCCCATTTGCCAACGAAACCCGATGCGGCCAGAATGTGGGAAAAAACAAAAGGGTAACATCAGGAGACTGCAGTAGAAGCGATGAGGTCTCCCAGCTGCTGGGCTCAACAGCGCCGGACGACGCCAAGGCAAGAGTCCGGGGAAGCCAGAGCCAGGCGGGATCATGACACAGCACTTATATTAGAGGCTCAACCAGCCGTCATCAATTATCAATCTGAAATAAGGGCCTAGATGAAAAAGGGTGGGGACACAGGCCACAAATTTAAGGGATGACCTCAGCAGAAGTGAAATATAACAGCATATGAGCTCCTGTGATCTTCTAATGGATGAAATCCTGGTCCAGAACCATGTTTAACACTCAATGCATCAGTGACATTTGGCTCAACTTTTTACCACAAAGAACTGAACCTCAAAGGAAAACTAAGAAAATTTTGAAATCACTACATGAAATACAAGTACTGGTGCAAACATAGCCAAAACCTGCTCCATGTGATGGGACAATGAATAGCAGTAATTATTAAACAGATAACTGAGCGCTCTCGCCCAACACAAGCTTCTCCTGAAGGGTAAATCATCAGCCAAGTTATGGCGATAAGGGAGGATGTCAGAAGATTTATGTTTCATCTGAGGCTTGTCAGGAGACTACAGAGCTTGCAGAACTGGCTTCCTGACCCCAAATATGCACATATGGGACATACCATCTCGACTTCAATTTAGGGGTGATTCACTGCTTGTGATTTATTCAAAAGTGTTAATGGACATTCAAAATTCACAGCCAGGATTTTAAAAGCTTCCTTCGACGCCGCCATTTGCTAAAAGAAAATGTTTGCCTTGAGCTTGTGTGTTTTCATGGGTATTTAGCCTGCAGGTTGCTGGCCAAACTCAATGAATTTATAGTATTTGGATAGAAGGCTAATCACTTCTTTGAAAGATACTCCAGGGAAGTTCTCTCAGTGACTAATTAACAGCTGTGGCACGGAACCGGTAAATCATCAAGATATCATAACATAAACAGCACAAATGGCTTTGCTTCTGTGGCATGTCATGTTTTACCGATAAAAAGTAATTATCTGTGATATTCCTTAAAAAACATCATTAGCTTTTAGCTACTTCAATGATTTTGATAGCTTGCCAAAACCTGCTTGGAAAGTGAGTTTTTAAAGTGATAAACCTAATCAGCCCAAAATAATCAACCCAGAGCACATTTTGGAATACTCTGCCAGTTAACCCTTTCGTGGCTCCTGTTGCCTGCGAGAAAATGTGGTGGATCGTTTTAGCAGAATTGCTTGAAAAAGTAATGTGAGAGGAATGCACAGCTTGGCTAACCCCATAAACCCCGCATGTTCACATATACTGCTGTTCGTTTACTACAAAATGCTTCTGGAAAGAGCAAAAAAACAAGATTCGCGTTTAAAATGGGCATTGCGTTTAAAAGTGCCGTGAGCAATTAGCAGTCATCTCGCATCATCCGGTGTGCGAGGCCATGCGATTGGCTCACCCATCTCCGACTCGTACGGCTCCCCGTCTCTGGGCAGCTCGATGTACTGCCGCGAGAACATGGTGCTCCCGTAGCCCAGGATGTAGCCCTCCAGCTTCATGTCAGGACTGGGCCGCACGAACTTCAGCACGATGGTGTCTCCGGTCGCATTGATGCGCACTTTCATGTTCTGTCTCCTCACTGAGCAAGACACAGATGGAAAAGGACACCAAGGAGCAGAGTTTGTAAGCATTTAACCTGTCACAAGAATTCAGGGGTATTCACATATTCAAAAGCCACCTCATTCTAATAGCATAAGAAAGAGGGTATGCTGGGTACTAATATCTTCCTACTTCATTGCATATACGTTACTGAACAGTAATAGCTAATGGAATTACAATTATGGGCAAATGACTGAATTAACTATTGATTAACCGGTTTTATTTAATACCATGAAGCAGTTGAGTTAACAGGAGGACATTATTGCTCCTACAGTACAGCTACTGTATCATCTGTTGCCATGGAAGCTGGATCACCATCCGCAATGCCTTCTGATCTTAGATAAGTGCTGCCATTTTCTTGCCAGACTACCAGACAGGAGAGGCAGGAAAAGGTGACTTAATTTTCAGAACTAATGCTCCTGGAGACATCGTTCAACACTTCAAAAGCATTTAAAGATGGTTTCCTGGATTCCAGGCATGAAGTTCAACTTGGTAAACAAGACAGAGAAAGGCAGCAAGCATTGTTTAACTGTACCTTTTAGAGAAACACACAAAGCAGTAAGGGGTTGTTATGGAACTATGCTATACAGATTAAGATTAATACTCCATTGATCTTTGCTCCAACATGACAAGTGGATAGCTTAGATATATTCATATTAATCATGCTATTCCTTGATGTCAAGGCTGTCTCCATTTCCCACCAACTTCCATATGGATATAGTTCCCGGACCTTCCACTTGGAACACTCCGAAGTCGTATACTGCAGGACCTGACTGACAGCAAAATAAAATTTGACTTCAAGACAAAGACTAAATGAGAGCCAATGCTGAAATAATCTTGGATTGACAGTCGTAGCAAATGCAGCTCAAATCGAACAGAGGTGAAGAAAAACACATGGCTTGTCTTCAACATTTTTTCCACATGAAAACAGCCAAACATATGTGCTGCTGCCTCCTCTCTGTTCCATACCCCAATAATTCAGAAATCGAGAGACCACTGGAATGAAAACAGTCACACAGACGGGCACACACAAACACTTTCCAGAGCATTGTTTTTGAAATGTGCTTTCAGACATGGATGTCAGATTAACAATGGCAGTATTATGCTTTATACAGCATCAGTAATTCTGCTTGAGAGTTTTTAGGAATAACAAGACAGATTAAAAAAAAAGGAGTGTAGATAATTGCTGGAGACCTTTGGCAAACCCAGAGCCATCTGAAACAAAGCCCACCACATAAACATCATCCAGAATTTTGTCTCGTCCGCTTATATTGGGATATTTCATGTTAAGAACAGAATGATGATGCATGATCGGCATCTCAGTGATCAGGTACCTGAGGTGAAGTTGTGCCCAGACCTGGAGATACATTAATCCCTGTCAAGATCCAGCTATTCAAAGGTTTAACGTGGAGCTGACCTACCTATGGTGAGACAGCTGGGGTCACAGGGCCACGGTGTGAAAAATATGGCCACAAGGAATAGGAAGCCAGGTGGACAGATTACACTAAACGTATTCCTGGCTTGTCCTGCCCCCCTCACAGTCTGAAATGTTTATATGCACATAACGATTGTGACAAATGTAATGGGTTTGTTACCATTCAGATTGACTTGGGAGTATTCAACCACTGAAAATAGAGAGTATTGTTGAAGGCATCCAAATCTCCCCAGGGTCTATCCACACACATTCATAACACTGCTTCATTTATTCAGTTTGACTGGCTCTAATCATTTCCCATCGAAGAGCCAGACAAAATACGGCGCGTTCCCTAAAATTTGGGCAGCTATCTCAGTTATGATTTTCTCAGCCCAGTCTAAATGACCCTACATCACCATTTAATCGAAGCTTACAGGACTGGTACGTTTGGACTGGTCAGCATGGGCCAGAGACCAAACTCAACCGAAAGGAAAACAAATAAATAAATGTACGAGGGAAAAGAAAACCATTCATTCAGATCGGGCCGTGCACTCACCGTCTTGAAGGAGTCAGAATGAAACATTTAAGGATTATATGTGTGGTCTAGTGCATGCTGGGTGAACAAGCAACTGTGAAACAGCACAATGAAACAATATTTCAGCTAGTAGTGGATGTGAGGTTAGCAAGTGCATTGGCTTGACTGTGGAAACATTGTTGTTACAATTTTAGCACAAACTGTATACCGAACACTTACACAATCTTGCCTTCCAGCAGCAATTAATAATTGGTAATTTTATGAAAGAAAATACATTCAGAATTTTACCTTTAACTATTCTGACAAATGAAGAGGCAAGTGTGTTTTGGCCAAACCATGCATCCGACATGCCAGAAACAACGGCCAATCAAATCAACTGGTCAGTTTCTGAATTTGGCAACCTGCTGTGCTCTTGGAAAGCCTCTGTATGTTTATGCGAGATACCTCCAGTGTACAATCATTACTTGTACTGACAAATTTTACATGGAAATAAGAGATATCCTCAACCACGGACACCAAAAATATTTCTGCTGAGGTCAGTCACACTCAGCAAACCGGGCTGAACTCAAGCTGAAGTTGGACCACAGAACTGAGCCAAACCTTAATTCAATGCTCCCAATTTCAAGCTGAATGTACTGACAACAAGTTAGAGTCACAACAGCAGAGAACTAACAGTTCCTGGCTTCATGGAGAACATATATTGTCACCATTACCACTGGGCTACCTGATTACTTGTGTAACCTCCTCTGTCGCATTTCAAACCCCGTCTACATAGAGGTCAATGAAAAGTGATGGATTCTAACCACACCAACCAGCAGCAGACATACTGGACCGCCAAACTTAAGGAGCATATCTTCTGAACTGTTACACTGAGCATGTCTGGTACCACTTTACATTAACGGCACTTTCATAATGCATTCATAATACGTTCATAGAGCATTCATAAGCAGCATGTAAGTATGCCTTAACATACTTTACCAGTTTTAACATACTTTAATATCAAACATTATATAATTATACAAATATAATATATATTTTTTTTATTATGTATATTAAAGATGCTAAGGTATACTTGCGTGTTGCTTATGAATGCTCTATGAATGCATTATGAATGCATTATCAAGGTACAGTTACTGTAAAGCTTTACCACATGTTTTGCACTGTTATGCTGCTGTATTGGTGATAAACACACCCATGAAACCATGGTCCATGTGCCATTCATTGCATATTTACATCATAGTCAGAAATTAAATCAGTTTCATTATAGTGTTCATCATGAGTCAATGACAACTTCTGTTCACCTACTTCGACCCAGGAAAAAAGTCCAATTACTGCGCAGCCACGCTGGTACAGAAGGGCTCCTGTTCTCCCTTGGATGGAGCAGAGACCTGACAGAACGATGGGATAACAATTCCCAGAACCCATGGTAATCAACCCCCTAGACCCGGCTGTCACTGAGAAGAAGTGCATGGGTTAGGATAGGAGGGGGGAACGCAGCCAAAATGCACATCTGTGACAACATGGATCTGAGGAAACAGAGGCAGCTACAGCTGCCTACTGGGTGAGAGCGACTGAAGGAATATGCACAGAAAGGGGTTCAGGACCTGGGAGGAACCTGAAACCTCTCTGTTCTCATTATACTACAACCAGCTTCAACATAGAACTTCTCAGTAAAGTAACGAAGGAGCCAATCAGGGCTCCGGAATGACAGCTTGGCCAATGTAATTTCAGATGGCTTGTGATGCTTGTGTCTTTTCCTTGTTAGGGATTTTAATCGCAGAACAATACATCTCTACACTTTTGTTCACATTTCGAGGTTAGAGGTAAAAAAAAACCCATAAGAATACAAACACATTAAGTACTTCTGGGGAACTTAAAAGACACCGTTTGTTTCAGAAAAACCCAAAAGGTTTTATATGCCATTTAGCATTCTATACAGCTCAACATCTGTGAGGTTGTAGTTCTGCCTGCACTCTGCTAAGCTGCCACAGCTCCCCCTTATTGGGAACATGGACTGTAACATCTGCTTATAATTACGAGGTGTTTCTCTATCAAAGGGAGTGGTACTTCATACACCAAACTGCAAAATCCCACTTTTGATCATATTCTACTTCAACACTAACGGTATAAGAGACATTACAGACTTGTCCATGTCACTGAAATTACCAAAGTACCTCAATGTCTTTCAAAAACATGCATTTTTGTTACAATTGATTGTGAATCTAATCGGTACGAAGTGCATCACACCTGACATTCACAAGACAAGCCAAAAAGTGAAAAGGGCAAAGCCCGATCTCCTCTCTAGCCGCATGCCCAGAATCCTGCGCAGGATCGAAGCTGAGGTTACCAAGGAGACAGAATTACAGTGCAAAGCGTTCTGGAGCTTTCCATCACGGCATCTCTCAGACTATTTACATCACTGCAGGTACTGAAGGCAGTGCAAACAAAAATGTGTTACAAACATGACGCCGAAAACAAAGAGCATGGCAATAAAAGAAATTCAGCCCATTTTTGGAGAAAATATGCACGTAATTATAATAGTTGTTTTTGTGATTATTTGTTCTGAATGACTTGCCTCTGATTTGCTGCGCATGGCTGAAGCTGATCAGTAGAATCCCAGCAAGAAGCAGGTATAGAGGTCTTGGAAGCATGGTGCCTTTGGACCTTCTCAGCACGGGACACTTCAGTGAGGCGGGATCTCGCTCTGGAGCTGATCGGATCGCGAATGACTGTGAAGTGATGTCGACAGGGAGTCCGAGCAGCATGTATACCAGGGCAGGGAGGGAGGGGACTACTTAATGTAACACCTCCAAACATTAACACATTGCAGAGGGACAGTTTTAACCCCCCAGCCCTCCTCAACCCACCCACCCCCCCCTTCTGCTCTGCAGTATTTTCCCTCACTTCTCAGCTCAAAACGCCACTGACTTCCCTTCCTCTGCTCCCCATTGCCTCCGCTGGGGCTCCTTTCATCTTCAGCTGTGGTCCCCCAGCTGGTGGACGGCCTCTGTGTCCCAATACCCTGGCCCTACATCACCATTAAAGCTCTATGGCTTCACCAGTTGATCCCAATACACCACGATAGCTGGTCTGCGATTCCGAAAGCACTAATTATTATAGAGCTGATCTGTAAAACTGCATATCTGCGATTTGCAAGGCGAGTAATACTTTCCATTATCTCAAGTTTGAGCTGTAATACTGTGACGTACTACAAGGCTGGTCGAGAATACTGCTCTATTTTAATACTGCAATGCAAGCACTACCTCCCACACATAAGATAACAACCAATCGGTACAGTGAAGACAACTATAACTGGACCACAATCTACAAACGCTATTGGTCAATTCAGAATTCACATTCCCTATAAGCAGGCCTGCCTCTACATCCAGGTAATTCTGCTAGAGGACACAGTCCAAGATGCTGGTGGTTGTGGATTGGGATCATCCCCTAATGTTAAAGGGGGAGCAAAGATACCAAAAAGTGGTCCAGAGTCCCTGCTGGCATCAATGATGTCAGTGGAGATGGAAACAATATATATTCAAAATGCTACAATGACACAACTGGACAAACTGCAATAATAACAACGGGACACAATAGTTTTGACATAGTGGAAAACTGGATAGCAGCCCATGGATGGTAAATGATATAAGATTCTGGTAAAAGTCCATGTATTAATCTGGCTCAGCCTGCGGCACAACAGTATACATTTCATTCAGACGTGCAGCCCTGTCTGCACACACAAGCCCTTGCCAAGGCGACTTGGCATTTCTCCTTGCTCAGCTGAGCCTCAGAGGCTGTGGACGACACGGGAATGAGTTTGCACGTTCTCGCAAGGCAAAGATCAACTAACCAGGTGCAGACTTCAGCCTGCCAGCAGAACAGCCCTTCCAGCATACAAGAACGAAGAGTCAACGGCGGAGTTCCTCACACGTAAATACGGGAAATAACTGTGTGTGTGTGTCTGGGTTTGCATAGATCACATTTGGGGACCAAAATGTCCCCAAAGTGCGGTAAAACCTGAAACTTCCTTACTTTTAGGGACACTTCTTCAGGTCCCCTTTGGGATAACCTCAATTTTATAAAAAATATGTGAATGCAATCAAAAAAGTAAAAGTGCCAAAAGTCTTGTATTTTGGTTGGTTGCTTATGTTTAAGGTTAGGGCTGGGTAGGGGTTAAGGGTGTCGTGATCGGGATTAGGGATTTCCCATAGAAATTAATGGCCGGTCCCTATTTAGATAGGTAGACCAAGTTGTGTGTGTGTGTGTGTGTGTGCCCCCCCCCTGGTAGGGAGCTGGGAACGAGCAAGTTTGCAGGTCCCTGTCGACCAGGATGAGAAACAATGAATTAAAGAACTAACTAGCAGCCAGCAAGCAACACATTTTGCCTTCGGGTTTTTCTGGCGTGGCAGAATCACACAGGCAGTGGTGCAGTGGCTATGGGCTGCTGTCTCACACCTATAGGACCAGCATTCAAGTCTCCGCCATGGCTCTGTGTGTGGAGTTTGCATGTTCCCCCCTTGTCATCGTGGGGTTTCTTCTGGATACTCTGGCTTCTGGCCACAGTCCAAAAACATGCTGAGGTTAACTGGAGTTACCAAATTGCCCGTAGGTGTGCATGTGTGAGTGACAGGTATGTGAGTGTGCACTGCGGTGGGTTGGTGCCCCGTCCTGGGCTGTTCCCTGCCTTGCGCCTGTAGCCTCCAGGATAGACTTCAGACCCCCGTGACCCTGAATAAGACAAGTAATTACAGAAGATGGATAGATAAATTATACAGAATATCTCAGGGAGAACGTCTCATGGGTTAAGAGGCAAACCAGGGTAACAGCTCTTATTGAGACAAAAGTGTTTACTCAAAGTCTGTAATGTTTTATTTATTACGGGAAGTTATTTGATGGATACATATAAGTGAACGGGACACATAAATGACTCTATTTCTAAATTTCTACTGAAATTGAACAAGTGTCACGTTGCAGGAAGGACAGAGGCAAAGGCAGGAATCGAGGAAAAACCAAGGGGCTTCATTAAAGTAAAACACACCGGGAGAGGCAAAAGAAAAGGGACCACGAGGGGTCAGAACTGGGCAGGGAGAGCTAGGAGGAAGGCGCAAGGCAAATGGGGGGGGGGAGGCATATGCAGGCAGCAGGATCACACACGCAACAATACAATGACTGGACTGGGGAGCTCAGGACGAGGAGGTACTATATTCAGCACAGATGAGGGAGCAGACGAGAGGCACCTGGGATCATCCACACGAGGGCTGACGGGAGGCAGCGTTAAACAAGGACCAGGTGAGACTTGTTAGCGCCACACCACAGGGAACACAGCTGAACACAAGCTAAACATATAAACATACACACACATACATTACAGAGTCAATGAATCTATACTGTCACCTTCAGCTATGTAATTCACTGGTCATACACTCGGAGGAAATGTCAAGCTTGTTAATCAAGTGCAAAAGAAAATGTAATAATAGAATATAAATACATAAGACATGTAAACAAGATATTAAAACATGGACTTAAGACATAAAACAAAAGAAACACAGCTAAACGCCGGCCTAAGGGAATATCCATGAATTACTCTATATAAAGTAGGGTTGTGTCTTTGGGGGGGTTGATATGCATTTACTGAAATTAAGAATAATAGGAGGATCACAGAACACATGACCAGTGGTTCATTTTTCATGCTAATGCTCTAATAATCATAGTTCTTCTATCTTTCCATTCAGAAATGCTTATGAGATGTGCTGCTGCTTAGTTGATGAACATATGTGGTTTGTGCAACTGTATTCAAGGACAGAACTTCAAGGCCCAACTTTTCCCATAAATGAAACATTGGGAGTGCAGATCCCCATGGAGAGACTTTGCATGAATATCTTGGAGTCAGTTGAAGACATCGTCCACATTCCCAGGGCAAGGAAACATGGTGTCATTGTGGGACAGGGAGTCACACTCTATAAGAAATGTCCCATAATGCATCAGAATTTCAAGCACAGGAACAGGAAAGGGAACCAATAACTCAGATGTTCGATGTCTTCAGTGCTTGCATGAGACCCTTATGACATTTCCGTGAGTAATTTAATCCTTTTGCATGTGGGGGGGCGGGGATGGGGGCTGTCCACATCACACAATGATCCCTTTGTCTCTCAAGGCTGGGCATGGATTTCAGGACAGAGGGAGGCTATTAAAATAATAAATAAATAAACAAACAAACAAATAAAAACGGAATAAAGAAAAACATGCATTCAAATCTCAAAGTATATGACGGCAGATTTGACATTAACACTCTGTTCCATCATTCCATGAGCTAACTGTAAAGAATTTTTCTGTTTTTGCTGCAGTCTTGGCCAAAGACGACAAAGCGCCAGACCAGGTCATACTAAGCCCTTACTTTTCAATAAAAAGACGTTATACCAGAGACCGGGTTTGGTTCACATTGCACCTTCCTCAGGGCAGCTCATTGCCCAGTTTTACAGGTGGATATTCACTGAGTACATCCCCCCTAATACTTTATTAAATGGGCAAACAGTTATAATAGATTACATGACTGTAATATAATACTTTTGTGACATTAAATTATAAGAAAGGATTATATCCAGACTTGTTTAGGACTTGAGACTTGACTTCAGACTTTGGTTTGTTGACTCAGGACTTGACTTGGTGTTAGACTCTCTTGACTTTAGACGTGGAACTTGCCTGTTTTGACTCAGGACTTGACTTGGAACTTGAGTGGTAAGACTTGAGACTTACTTATTACGTGAAAGTCAATGACTTGTCTGACAGTTAAAGATTGACTCTACACAACTGCATTTGACCACCTCATGGACATCACACTTGACAGCCCCTGTCAGCCCACAAACAAACAAACCAGAGCAATGAACCAAAACACATTAATATAAGGCTCTGTTCTAACACTGATGTAAGGCTGCAGCCCACAATGTTAGTGAAGCTTCAGCTTGAATATCGTGAAGAGCTATTATTATATAACAATAATATGAAGCATCAACGTTGACGTGCTGTTTCCCGGTTGTGTTGCCAGTCTGTCTAGCCGCATACAGACATCAGACCAAGAATGACCTTTTGCACAGTGGGTAAATATTCACATTTGCACCTCCGGTTGCAAGGATTTACAGAGGCGAACAAATGCTGATATTCCCAGCAAAAAGGATGTAGGAAGCAGACAGGAAAGAAGAAATAGATGAAAAACAAATAAACGCTTCACGTATGAATAGTGTTTTGGGGTTTCCCTTAATGAGACTCATTTAGGTTTGTAACTTCTCACTACAGAAGTGTTCCTGCTGCATTCATACTGGCAAACTGATCATGGAGTTTGGGAGCAAAACTACACATTTCTGCCTGCGGAGTGACTAGAGAAAATCCTGGAAATGCTGGAATCTCCAGACCTGAAAATGAACTTCATAGATGACAATAGATTCATGCCCTCAAGGGCAAAGTAGGAAGTGAAGTGACACCAAATGAATTCAAAATGTGCCACTATTGTTTTTGCTCACATTGTTTCATTACTCACTTTCTCCGGATCTTTCTCTGCCAGAGTAGAATGCTGCCCAGTTTTGGAAGAAAGTGTAGTTAACATGTTCAGTTCGTCCACTGCTAACCTGACAGGCAGAGCACATGCAAGCACTTGCATTGACAAACAGCCCATTAACTACAGCGTTATCTTCATCTTACCTATCTACACTTTGACACACAGAAGTCCATCCTTTAAAGATGGCTTTGAGCTAGCCTGACCCCTGAGCCGAGGGGCCGCCATCTGGACATACCCCCTGCCATT